ACCGCCTTCCCGCCGCTGCCCTGGCTGGTTGCCTGCCGGCTCGCCTCTCCCACAGCCGCCTGCTCCCCTGTGTCCTCCCGTTCCTTCCGCTTCATTCCTGCCCTTGCCGTTCCTCCGTCTCCTTCCCAGCTTGGCACGAGCTGTCCGAAGTCCGATGCAACTTCGCTTGCTGCTTCGTCCTGGGCTGCCTGGGCTGTCTGTCCCTCCTCCCTAACGCTTCTCTCCTCATCTCTGCCCTTGGACTCCCTGGCCGTCTCCCAGCATTTCTTCTTCCAGTGATGCGCCTCCCCGCACAAGTCGCACACTCGACGCCACCTCCTCACCCCTTTCTCGACCGCCTTCCCGCCGCTGCCCTGGCTGGTTGCCTGCCGGCTCGCCTCTCCCCCAGCCGCCTGCTCTTCGTTGTCTCTGCCCTTGGACTCCCTGGCCGTCTCCCAGCATTTCTTCTTCCAGTGATGCCCCTCCCCGCACAAGTCGCACACTCGACGCCACCTCCTCACCCCTTTCTCGACCGCCTTCCCGCCGCTGCCCTGGCTGGTTGCCTGCCGGCTCGCCTCTCCCCCAGCCGCCTGCTCTTCGTTGTCTCTGCCCTTGGACTCCCTGGCCGTCTCCCAGCATTTCTTCTTCCAGTGATGCGCCTCCCCGCACAAGTCGCACACTCGACGCCACCTCCTCACCCCTTTCTCGACCGCCTTCCCGCCGCTGCCCTGGCTGGTTGCCTGCCGGCTCGCCTCTCCCACAGCCGCCTGCTCCCCTGTGTCCTCCCGTTCCTTCCGCTTCATTCCCGCCCTTGCCGTTCCTCCGTCTCCTTCCCAGCTTGGCACGAGCTGAACTGAGTCTGATGCAACTTCGCTTGCTGCTTCGTCCTGGGCTGCCTGGGCTGTCTGTCCCTCCTCCCTGACGCCTCTCTCCTCATCTCTGCCCTTGGACTCTCTGGCCGTCTCCCAGCATTTCTTCTTCCAATGGTGCCCCTCCCCGCACAAGTCGCACACTCGACGCCACCTCCTCACCCCTTTCTCGACCGCCTTCCCGCCGCTGCCCTCCCCGACCTCCCCTGACTCGTTGCTCAGGTCTCCCTCTTTGTGGCCCCCGCCGCATTTCTTCTTCCAATGGTGCGCCTCCCCGCACACGCCGCACATTCTAACGCCCTTCCCAAGCTTCAGTCCAGTCCCTCCGTCTACGCTCGTCCTGCCGTCAAGGCGACTTGTCTCTTCCTCCTCCAGGGTTGGCATGAGCTGACGATGCTCTGCGCCTGGCTCGATATCGCCGTGTACGAGATCATGAGCTGGGGAGTTCTTTGTGGCCTCATCAGTCACTGCAGTCGATTTATCTCTCGTGCAGTCAACGATGTCCTCTTTGGTTGCTATCGTAACGCTCTGTCTGCGCAGACCGTCCGAATCTTGTTGTTGCACTTGATGAAGTGAAACGACAGGGATGTTTTGTGTCTCGCTAACTGCCTCTGCTGCTTGCTCTACTTCCATACGAGGTTGATCAGATCTATGATCCGAGGGCAATCCAATTATGCTTTCTCGTTCGCAAATGTCTGTTTTCTCACCTTCGCAGCAAGTATCATCGTCATTCTTCTTTGTTTCTGACCCAACCAGATTTTCTGCTTGACTTTCAACTTCCTGATTTTTGATGTGAAGTTGAAGTTCACCAGCACTCGCACTGTCTGCAGTCCCTTCATTTCTTTCTGATTGCTTGTCAATATCGTTTCTTTCTGCGTCAATGGCTGCTTCTGCCTCCTCCCTTATAATCTTGGAACCTAATACATTACCTTCTTGTTCCATTCCCGTCCCCGTCCATGTTTCCGTCCCCTCACTATCCCTTTCGTCTGCAAGACACTCGCCGTTCATACATCTATTTCTATCAAAGTTGTCTTCAGGCACATCACAGTGAACGTTTCCATTTCTGTCCAATATTTCTTCTGCAGGTAAGATATTTTCTTGGGAGGTCGCATTGGCCCTGGACGACTGGTTCGATCCTATGGAAGATTCCATTTCCTGACAACTGATAAGCTCCTGAGTCTGTTCTGTTGCATTTTCTCCTGTTCTCTGACATTCTTCCTCCTGACCTTGGACCTCCATATTGCATTCTGCAGCAGCAGGTGCCATGCAAGCGATCTCCGGTTCTCGCTGAGGAATACCTCCATGCTCTAAGCTTTGTTCTTGGCTTGTTGCTGGATCTTCTACTTGAAGACTGCCGGATATCTCTTTCATCCTTTTCAGATCTCTGCTGCTGTCGGATAGCTTTGTGTGATCGACTTCGCGTGTCTCTTTATCTGACAATTGTACATCTCTTCGTTCCCCTTCATCAACTCCTGAAACACTTGCCGCCATGTTTTTGAGATCCTCTTTTTCTAATCTATATGATACTACTGATTCAGCACTTCTAGAATTTATCGATGCATCTTGGCTTGTGAAGCTTCGTCCAGATTGTCCAACTACAGCCTGTCTTTTTGCTCGCATTCTCCTGGGCAGCTGATTGAATTCTATGATATCCTCGTTTTGTAACGAAATATTCGATGAGACGATGTCTTCGTTTGATATGACACTATCCACTGATCGCAGAGCTTCTGGGACATTTCTTGAGTCGTTTTCGTCGTCCTTTGAGCTACTATCTGCTGGATCATTCCTGTCGGATCCTATCGTACAGACAATTAGATGCCAAGTGTCCACATGTTTCGACAGTGATCTCACCACTGTCCGATAATTGCAGCGAAGAGGTTTCATTTTCGTTGTCGGTTTTCATATGAACTGGCATTCCAATGGCTTTGTATACAGGCCTGCTGAAATGTAATGTGAGCAGCTTTGCACGATATCCGCGTGACAAAATTTGTTTCAAAATGCTCTATGCGAAGCTCGTGTTTTCATCATTTCTTTCCTTTCATGCTCTACTAATGGCGGGCCTTTGTTCTCTTTGCCAACTACTCTACTGCGCTGCGCTGTGCTGCTGTAAAGGATACTACTATCAACACCATTCCTCGAATGTGAATTCGGCTCTGCATTTTTCTGCGACACTATCAGAGCTCTGTCCTCATGTGTGTTCAACTTCCCTAGAAATCTTCATGCAAAGTGACTGCCCTCCTTTACTAGGCCACACCTTACCCCCTTCCTCATTCCTTGCTATCCTTCCCTCCTCGCCATCCCTTTCCTCGCCTCCCCTTTCCCCTCCTCCCTCCCTCTCCCTCTGCTCTCTGTCCCCCTGCTTGGCGCCATTGGCGGCAAACTCTCAGCAAAGTTTTGGAGTGGTCAAAGTGGGGACGAGGCTAAGTGGACCTCGTCCCCTCTATGACCCAATTCCGTATGCAGGCCGGCGCGGCCGCGCCGAGAGTTGATCGCAATCATTGAATACTATGATAGGTAATCGCCGGGCCAGCACAACTGCTTTCAACTTGAATGTGATCAGTGAAGTGTTGAACCTGAACACACACTTACTCAGCGGCTACTGGTGCAGCACTTGGCTGCAGGTAACTTAGTAAGCCCCTCAGCGTCGGCCCTCTGCCATGGTTCTGTAGCGACCACCGTGGCACTGGTCACTTGGTGATTGGGATCAGAAGGTTGAGATTGATCAGGAATACAAGTGTGAGGGAATAAGTGAAGCGAGAGCAGAGCGTTCGGATACGTGAATGTGAGTTGCAAGAACATCGATAAGATTGAACAGTCAAAAGGTGCTGGAAGCGAGATCAGCGATTGCACAGATGAAGCGAGCGCTCAACGTAAAGAATAGATAAAGCAAAGACACGGGGTTTGGTATCAGATGCAATCAAAGCATTCAGCACACTATGTTACATCAAAGATGAAGCGAAAAACACAGATGCAGAAGATAGAAGTGCAATTGTATTGCTAAACTACATCACAGCACAGAAAATCATATCAAACCAACACAACAGAGAACAACAGTACAAAGCCACTCTTCTTTATGACTCTGTTTTAGTCGGTTTGACAGAAGGAACATGACTTTGAGAAATCCTGAAAGAAGATTGATTCTGAAAGTAACAAGATGACAGCGTGAAATGCAGGAACATTCAATGCCATCACAGGGAGCAAGGTTGAAACATCATGAAACACAGATCAAATTAAGATATTGGCCAATGATGCATTCTGAATAAAAATTGTTAATTCAACAAAATTAGAGACAAATATTTATGAAATCAAGAGATGAAAATTATCATAAACACACGTTGCAACAATTGAAAAATCAATGCAGCAGAAGAATCTAAGAAACCGAACAGAAAAAAGATATTTTCCAAAAAAATTGAATTTATGATGTGAAAAGAAGAGTAATGACTTCAAAGAGCATGTAATTCAAGACGACGTCATCATCCAAATATCATATTTCTTTGTTGATAGCATATAAAAAGAAATGTGACATCTGTCAAACCAAACAACTTTGCATCCTTACAAAGCACTTTCCCATGATAGTCAAGAGGAAAATATAAAATCAGACGTTAAAACAAGAAAAGAACGTGCAGATTTTAAAAAATCTTACAATTTTGTGATTCTACTTCATGAAGAATGACATTAAACAATCCTGACAAAGAAAGGAGAAAACGAGGGAACAATGAAACATGGAATCGAGATCTAAGAATTGTTCGATGAAGAGAGAAACAGTGGGACAACAGCTGTTTCGTGAATGATTCTACGCACAAACAACAAGGTATGTTGTAACTTGTCTCAAATCGCTCACAGGCTGAGCGGCGAGGATGGAAAAAAAAAAAATACGGCACATAAAAAATTCTTGTCTTTTCTATTTGCTGCTGTATTTCCTTCTCAACAAGGTAATTGCATCTTCTGCCTTCTTTCTAAATATACGAAGATAGCGAGGTGGGCTTGACATGTAGAGGTAGACCTCAAAGTTGGCTTTGGAAGTCACCGTTCGCAAGTTTGCGATGCTCAGAGCGGCGGTGTGGATGGCGATGTTGGAGGTGAGGAGGGGGGGAGGAAGAGGGATAAGAGTCAGGCAGGCAGACAGACAGAAGGGAGGGGAAGATGGAGGAGGGGAAGATGGAGGAGAGAGGGTTGAGAATACCAAATGTAAAGAGAGAGCGGAGGATAGCGAGAGAGATGAATGAAGGGAGACTCTGACTGAAAGAATGTAATGTTGAATGACTGATTGTTTTCTAGGTTGCCTTCACCTACAATCTCCCATCTTCTCTTTTCTTTCGACGACAAGTGTTGACAAAGTGACAACATACATATATTGACCTACCTCATCTTCTCTCTAACATTACTTCAGATGCAATCTGGCACATATGCCTTTGCATCGCCACTTTCGTCCAAGGCAAGGCGTTGCTTGCACACTACCCACGAATGATGGTCTCTCATGCTAGGCTGACTCCAGCGATGTCGCAAAGTATCTCGACCGAGAGACAAGGCGTAGGCACAGCCACGAGGGAGAGAGAGCGATACGTTGTCTTCAACAGGTTTCAAACACGGGATGGAGCCGGCGCAAAATTCGAGAAGGAACTTGCTCTTCTTTCGCTTCGTTGGTTCATGTTGTTTCCTGCAGAGATGGGCCGACCGGAAGAGCAGCTTGAAGCAGATGGAAGGTGAGAGTCGTTGTAATGCTGCGGGATAAGAAGTCAAATTCTTGTAAGATAATCGATGTGTATCCAGGGTTTCGCCTGTTCAGTCTTCTCAGAAGAATCGATGACGACGCCAGTGACAGCAAAGGCTATCCCGAGGACTTTCAGGACTATATGTCAATGACAGTTTGGGAGAACAAGGAGAACTTTGACAGCTGGTGAGAGCAATCGAAGTGAAGTTGCCATGCTCCATACATTGACGTCCTTGAAGGAGGAAGGGATATGCATTCAAGGAGGCGCACGGGGGAGGATCGCTGGGTGGGTTTCTGTCTGCAATGATCGGGAGGTGTTGTATCTCTTTTTCCTCTCGCCGTGTTTTTGACTGAGAGCTTTGTAGCATGATGGTCCTGCGGACATCTCCAACGCCTGCAATGTGGGATGGACTCTTTCCCAAGGCCTCAACGAAGCAGCTTGCAGCACTTGCGTTGCAAGGTGATGGCACGATGTGCAAAAGTTTCCGATCGCGTTGACGCTACACAAGGTCGAGATGAGCACGGAAAGGTTGTTGCAGATGGCAAGGCAAAGATCCCGACAGATTGCTTCATGACTATGGTGAAAACACATTGATGGTTGGCCTTCATATTTGATCAAGGGGTTTTCAGGATTTCTATCAGCTTAAGGATCAGTCTGACGACAAATTCGAACAACTCTGGTAAGTTCTTTATCATGGTGATGACAACCAACAAACAAACTCATGCTGCTCTCAAGGTCTCAGATCTCCCCTCAGCTCCAAGAAGACGACAGGTCGGTACATCCCAGGATGCCATATCATGACAAACTCTTCCAAACCTCCAGATGCCTGGCCTCCATCCTCCTGCGACGAGCAGGAAGCAAGGCGACTCGTCCCGACGACGCCTTCACGTATGCCTCCTGCTCCTTCTGGCCATCTGAGGTGACGTAGCACCGTTCGGCATGCGAGGAGAGTGACCCTGAAGGGAGCAGGCAGTGTGGAAGGAATGGAAGGAGTCGGAGGGGCGTCCGCTATTGAGCAGCCTTGAGGAGCAGGTACATGACTATAGTGATATTAGTGGCAACGTGTGACAATTTGCACTAGATTTCTTCTTCCGCCGCCGTAGAGAATCGTTTCACAAGTCGCTGGGAAGGAACTTTGCTGTTGTCAGCTCCGAATGGAATTTGATGCGGAGGTCATTCAGCGCATTCCATGAACTTGATGGTGTCAATGACGCATGGTGCTTGTAAAGAGAATTTATTTTCAAAATTGATTGGAAATCAGTATATTGCTACATCATTTACAATTACTCTGAATCTCTCAACACGGTAGCAGCATGTACACAACACGACACTGTCCGCACTTTGCCCCCTTCGCTTCTTATCTCTATCCACACATCTGAACACAAATGCAACTAATGTGCAGCAGGGAGCTGCAGGCCGTCGAGAATCTCGAGGTCGCTGTCATTGGGGACGAGCCACGAGAGATCGAACCCTTCGCTGGTCTCAGAAGACGTCATCTCCGTGCCGTCGCTGTACTCCGTGTTGAGCGAGGAGGCGGACGTGGAGGAGAAGAGCGGTTCTTCGATGAGGGAGGGCAGCGTCGGGCACGGTCTTGACACTTCCGTGACTTGGTTCGAGGGGAGCGGCGGAAGCGGAGGCAGCACCTTGGTAACCATCCTCGACCGAGCCAGCACTGCGTCCTCGATCTTCTTGCCCTTCCCAGGGACCTTGCTGCGAGCAAAATTTTCCTTAGAAGAAGCTTGCGAGCTGGAGGCCTCGCCGGTCAGGTTGTGGGGCGAGGTTTCTGACTTGACAGGGGAAAAAAGGCCTTGCTTTCTAAGGACTATCTTGTTCCCCTTGAAGGGCCACTTTGCGATTCCGAGCTGACGACACACCTTCTTAATGACAGTTGCACAGACACCCTGGGGAACTCTCAGCACCGAGAAGCAAAGAGAGGAGGAGAGGGTTTAGGTCTTACCAGCTTCTTGCAGACTTGATGCTGAGGCATGTTGAAGAACCCCTCTAGCTTCTGCCTGGTGATTACAATTGGTGGTCGATTGCTGCCCAGTTTGTCTTGTCCCGATTTTCTTCGTGGAAAGATTGTTACATCGTCGCAATTGGGCAGGAGTCTGGATTTTTTTCGCTTTCCGTCATTGCTCGGAGATCCACAAGAAACAGAATGTTGAGTTGGTAATGTGTTTTGAAATGGATCTGCAATCTTGATGTTGTAGAAATCCTTGATGTGAGACGAGTATACGTTCGTATAGTTGGAAAAGGTCCCCGCATCATACCAAGTGTTGTAAGGAAATCCACTCATTTTGCCTTGTCTGAAAAACAAACGGAAAATCAGTTGATATGAACTCTTCGATTTCGAATTTCATCAGCAACATCCACACACACGTTCCAACCAATTCTAACGCTATCTTGCCAAGCAATCAGAGAAACTAAGAGTCTAAGCCCTCGTGCAACACTTGTGTGGCTGTGGAAAACCGATGAAAGGCTTGGCTTGCAAAGACCCTGCACCACTACAGAGCTGTACATTCTTCACGGCCCAATGCTCAATTCTAACTAGCATCGCAGAAACACGCATAGCCTTAACTGAACTCATCAATCCTTCGCTATCGTCTCTTCTTCGTCACTGCACGCACGCACTGTTTCTGCCTGGCAGCGCTCCTCTACTAACTTCCTGCCATCGTTGCCCCTTGCTCGCCCCCTTTCCCTTACAACTACTCGCCAGCCCCTCGACCTACCCCGACCCTACCCCACCTTCCAGATACAGTCACCCCACCCCTACCCTCAAAAGGTTACCCCACCCCTACCCACAATCTTGACACTACCCCTCTCAGATTGCTTTTTCCACGTAGGACCACCATAAGGCTCCTCTAGTTTCCCACCTTTTCACAGAGGGCAATAGGGTAGTGGCAGGGGGGTATTTTGCCTGGCTACCCCACCCACCCCGAAAAAGGAGTACCATTACCATTCCCAGTGAATATCTTACATCACCCCACCCCCCACCATGGCAGCGACTTCACGACATCCCGGTCTAGGGCACATTTTAAGTCCTGTCAGATCAAAATGACCAGGGGTCGTATGGTTGGAATATGAAATGGAGGGGTACTTGAAGGGAAAACAGGGGTGTTGGTGGAGGCAACAGGGAAATGGGGTTTTCACAGTGGGGTGGTGGGGTAGACGGCCAAACTGATACGACTGTTTCGCCTCAAAACCTCCCATACCACACCTTTTCAGATCTCTCCATCAACGAACGGTTGCAATGTTACATCTTTCCAATCAGCAGTCGTAATTTATAAATTTATATGCTTGCTTATATGTTGTACCTACCCCCTTGGCATGGGCACACTACCCCAGACATTGATGCTCCACCCACCTTCCTTCTCAGCTTCTTCCTGCACCCTACCATTTCCCCATTGGATCCAACCTCTACCCCTCATTAGCTATGTCTTATACCCCCGTCATGACCCCCTTGTTTTGTCTACCGGCTGATGGAAAGTGTGACATTCAAACTACCCTACCCAGGTGTAGTGCAAGTGATCGCGCGACCCCCAATTTTCGCCCCCTTTTAAAAACATTTTTAATTTCTTTCTCGCCCCCAAGGATACGCCTACCTGCGTTCCCCCTGGCGTTCCCCTGCCAGCCTCCAAGGCTCTTTCAAGACTGAACAACTTTGTTGAACTGAATCCAGGAGTCCTTGTGGAGTATTCCGAGCTCTTATATCCAATTCTTGTAGATATTTCTGTAGCAGCTGAGTCTATTGGAGATCAGGATTACATGTCTCTCGGCTGTTGCAAAACTTTTGGCCAGTTTGC